TGCAATTACAGAAAATGTATTATGTAATACTCCTAGGCCACAGCGAATAAAGAAGAAAAATTCTACAGCACTTGTTGCTGCGCATTTTTTCGTAATTCGTACTTTCTTGTTCCCATTTACAAACAAAGAATTTAAGCGCATTTTTTTGCCCATCAAAGCACTCATTCAAGGCTATGCCCTAGTTTAAATTTCTGGGTACAAACACATGTTTATCCAAAGCGCTTATTTCGGCATTGTTAAGCTGCGCTTTATTGAATTCAATCGTTCTTTTATTTGGGCTTTCAATGGTACAAGTTTTTATTTTTTCATTTGGCATCCAATATCTTATAACGTCCCCTAACAATGCCACGTTAGATTGCTTGTTTTCAAAGCCTAGGATAGGAATGGTGCCACTTATTTAATATCTTCTTTTTTTTTTGTTTTTTTGTACTCTACTTCATTCGATTAACTGTGGAATTTATTTTTCTATGATTAATACGCACAATTTAAAAGCTTTCATGCACGCGTGATCTTTCAGAGATAACGCTAGGAAACAATTTTAATTATAACTTTTGTTGTGAAATGCAGCGGTTATATATTTTATTACCCTTAATTTTTCGTTAAGAAAATATTCTTTTAATTACTTTTAATTAGTCCTACATATGTTAGCTTAAGTTATCGTCTTCGATTCGCCAATTTTCGGAAGCCTATATTTGCGCTGAGCTCTCTGCAAAATTTGTCCTGCTGAATTTAATACTAGGAGTATATAAGTATGTATGTATTATTAAATAATTCGTTGCGATTCTATGATCGATTTATGCTAGTTGCTTGTTCGATTTTCCATTTACTAAACACAAATACAAAATGTTCTTTGCGAATAATGGGCAATCGTACTCCAATTCATGACAGCTCTCAGCTGGTGCCTTATATGTTTCCCATATTCGAGAAATCTATAGCATAAGAAAAACAATAAAATGAAAAAAATTAGTTTGCTTCATTTTTTAATTTTCTTTCCTTTCTATATGCGTTTACCAGGGTCCTTTTCTCGCCTTTAAATATACAGGGTTTTGCTATAAAAATGTTATGATTTCCTAAAAAATACTATTTGCTAAGATATTCAAATGTTTTTTTTTTTAAAGTGAAGTAAAGTTTCTAAAATTAAGTTCTGAATATAACATCATTCAAATGGTCTCCATGACTTCTTTTGCAGAAACGAATTCGATGAATTCAATTTTTGAGTACTTTCTCCTCTAAATGAAGTTAATATTGACTTCTATGTATGTTGAAGTATGTCAGAATAAAACGTTCAATATTGACTTCTAAGGCTTGAGGGGAGTTTGGCTTATACTAAATACCAATGACTTCAAATAACCCCACCTTAAATATTCTAATGGTTTTTAAACTTATTAGATGCCATTCAATGTCACAATTTTTTAAAATCTTCATTTCGAATGAAGTACGGACCGATGATTCCACCAGACCAAAAAACGCAACAAACTGTCATTTTTATTTGGTTCTTCGTACCTAAATGAACAGTTTTGTTTATTTACCGCATCAGTCAGATGGAGGTGAGCCTCATTTGAGTAAAAGATTTTCTCAAAAAAATATTTATCGTTTTAAAGTGGTTTCAAGGCAAAATCAGCAAATCCACGATGTTTATGGTGGTCCAATGGCTTCAATTCTTGAGTGTGAATAATTTTATACGGATCCAATCTCAAATTCCTTCTCAAAATCCGCCAGGTTGTGGTTTGAGATCGTTTCAATTACTGAGAACGTCTTAGAATCGACAAATTGCGGTCTTCAGCAAAACTTGCCCGAACGGTAGCAATATTTTCGTTATTTCGGGCGGCGTTACCATGACGAAATTGTAAACATTACTTATTGAATGAAAAAAAATCATAGACCATGACATATTGGAAACCCCGGTCTAAAGTTGTAATTGGTATAAACCCCTCAAATATACGAAAACATCGAATTATCTTTTACAACACTATGACTGCCTAAATTTCGTGAAGGAAAATTTTATGGGAACCTCGGAATTGCCTTTACATGTTTAAAATATCGTGGGAATGATACATACTTTCCAAGATTTATTAAACTTTTTTTTTCATTTGCTCTTTATATGTCAATTAGTCTGTGTTATGCAGTTTATGTACGAAAGTTTTCTTGGGGCTTTTTACCACGGAAACCAATTGATTCCACCAGAATCACTGGCATTCAGTGAAAGCTGTGAAGTCACTTGCCTCATGCAATTCGTCCATTCACCACTCTTACCGACGATAACATCGAAACAATACAAGTAACATTGTTTGGAAATCATATTATCAGCTTCAGAGAGATACCGCTATATATATCCTAATGGATAGGTTCAACAGATTTTGATTAATGTCTTGTAGTACGAGTAGTAAAAGAAACGATACCCTTTACAAGCATGTTTTCTCACGACAAGTAGTGGTCTCAAAAGAGATGTTTAAGATGAAGACCTTACATTCATTGGCAGGCATATATTGACTCGGGAATCTATTTTAAAGGTTTTAATAAAGAGTTATATTAAAATAAGGGATATGTCAAAGCGAGTCAAATGTATCAAATTATGTTATTCAATTATTGGCATAGGCAACTTTTTTGTCAAGGAAAGGCAATCATTAAAACATCGGCCGCCAAGATCACTTTGTCCTATCCCAAAGCTAATAGATCGCCAAAAAGTGATTATGGCCACGAAGATTTGATAATTAGGTACAATTAAACTATTAATTATATTGCTGTTCCCTTAAGATCTCTATTTTAAGCTTTCAGAGCGATAAGTTAACACAAAACATTATTTTTGCAAAATCTCCAAACTACAATTGAGACCTAGAGACCATAGAGATATTTTGGCGTTACCACCTTGTCACATGATTCTGGTTTATTTGGTAATATGATTAAAATAAATATACTTTCCTTATTAATAACTTTATTTATTTATAAGAATATAGAAAGTTGAGAAAACATTATCCAGAACTATTTAGTAAAGTTTACAAATATTTAAGTACTTAAGTACTTTAAATCGCCTATGTATGAACAGTAAAATGCATTTAAAAGCAAAACAAGTCAAAAAGGCGTAAAAAGTAGAGCCTCGTAAATAAGTTAACACCTCCCGCCATTTAAGACCATTGTTTTTACACTTCGTCAATGATTAACGGCGGCCTTTCGCGTCCGAAATGTAAGTGACCGGAGAGATCTTTACACTTTACGAACAATCGATGTTCCACGAAAGGCAATAATTAAGTAAGCAAAGTAGGCCTTACGACTAACGCGGATAAACACACACATACATACATAAAGATATCTCGAGCGTGACTGATTTTTGCTGAATGCAGGATATTAATACGCACACATATGCACAATTACTTACATACTTAGGTGTGCTTGTGTGCGATTCAAGGTAATGCAAAATATGTGTATAATACAACAAAAACAACAGTGCAATTATATGAATGTAGGCACGATCTTCACGGGAAATTCCATGCAACACTTTGCATAATGGAATTCATTAGCATAAATAAGACTAACACAAGCACCGGGTGAGCAAATAGAAGAGTTGAGGTAGCAATATGTCGATCTATGTATGTGTATATATGCCGAATTAGAGCCAAAAGGATAACAACGTGCCAGCATGAGATGCCTGCAGAACAAAGGTGTTGCGTTGGCAACTTGCCGCTGCATGCAGCAGTATATGTATGTATGTGCTAATATTTACATGACAGCAACTGCGTGTAGGAAATGTTACAAGCCTTTTTCGCCTGTTGTTGGTACTTTAATCGATTCTACCGCCAAACAAAATAATCTCATACCGAGGAATGTGGCCGCTAGATGTTAGAACTTGGATGTTATCGATGCCTACATATTTATGAAGTTATTAGGTATAAGTTTGTGTGTGTCGGTATGCGTATGGTAGGGTGCTGCAGCCCAACTACGCGGTTGAGCTAGGTGAGAAAAAGGCGTAAATGCAGTTAGGCACCCATACATGTCGATCGCTTGCATTTTAAAGATACCCTGCAGGAAATAATTGGGATATACTATTTTATGAAACATAAAATTAAATTTTATAAAAAGTAAAAATAAATTTTATAAAAAATACAAAAACTCACCGACACCCAAGTTGTAATACCCATCACAGATGCATTTTTTAACGCATAGAGGGTATAAAAAGTACTACATTTATCTTGATTTTGGTTGGTCAATTTATATGACAGCTATGTTCTATAGTGGTCCGATCTGAACAATATTATTGGAGATCATAACGATACCTCTAATAATAATCTATATGAAATTTCTTAAAGAAATCTAGATGTTTCCTTCCCGGTATCAAAATGTTCGGTAAACTCAATATACCCTTTGCAGACTATAATGCTAGTTTTATTTGAAGCTTGCAACTTTGCTTTCAAAAAATCCGCACTAGAAACGGAAGAAATCTTATTCTTTTGCTGAAAGGATCTAAAATTTTAAAATAATTTTTTTCTGAATATTTGAATTTTGTTCAAGTCTTTTCTTTGTAAAATTATGCAAATTTACAAGTAATAATGTTCGAAAAATTTAATTTTTACAAGCCTTCTTATGAGATGCTTTAGATATTTATTCAATTATTTTCAAATTTCTTGCGGAATGTCTATCATTTTATACAAATATGTGTTATATGCACATACAAAAGTCTTTTTTCTACATTTTTCACATACTGACATTGTATTTTCAAACTTTCCTTTAAATATTTTCAAATTTCCTACAGGGTGTATATGGGTGTATTTCAATTATTTTTAATTTTCTTGCAGGGTGTGTATCATTGTATACAAATAAGTTTTATGTTCACTTACGAACATTTTTTCCCTTCAATTTCCTGTCGGGTCTGTATAGGTGTATGCAAATATGTTTCATATTCCCAACTAAGCATATTTTTTCTTAGATTTTATACACACTGACACTTCTTTGATGACTTCTTTTGATTGTTTTTTCTTCTTCTGCTTATGTTTTTTTTTTATTTAAAGGTGGCTGCAACTGGGACAGTGATCTTCACACGGCTGCAACCAGCAAAATCAATGCAAGTAAGTGCCGAGTACGTTTGTTTGTTCTTAGTGTATGGCAGTGTTATGTGTGTGATGAGGGTTATTGTACAGAAATGGGATAAGCACAGACGAAAAAAATAACAACTTCGGCCAGCAGCCAAGGTCGCAGCTAGCTGGGAGTAGAGCGGCAGTAAAGCAGAAAAAATGGGGTGGTGCGTGGAACTGGTATGTTGCATAACTTCCAAATGAAAAATACGCACGATTACTATGCAAATATTTTAACTTTTTTTTCTGGTTTATCTCAGTGTCGTGCATAATTACTACATGCCACACAGCTGCAAAGATAACCGCAGTTTAAAGACACGTCTTCATGTCAGAAATTGAAAGCACATCAAGCATTTTCAAACTGCTTTGGGAAAATTCGGCAATTTTCTCAAGTCATCCGAAAACATGTAGCCGCCGCGCATCCTTGCAACAGGCGTTACAGCTACTCTCACCGCGGCAATGTTGCAAGTTATTATAATAATTTCGTGGCACTTCGCCTTCAGTGCATTGTGTCTTGCTTTGAATATTTAATGAACAATAAACCAACACTGAAAAGCCACTCAGTCATCTTGTCCGACACAAAAGCGTTCAACCAGTTTTCACACACATACTAGCAGGCGGCTCCGGGTTTCAATCCTAGCTCGGCGCTGTCAAAAGACAATTCATCCAACAAGCAGAAAATAATGCACTCCAATCACAGTGGAATAGCTGAAAACGCAGTTTCATAAATTTTTGTTGTGTTAAAGTGGGGAAAAGTGTATTTTTGAGTTTACAACATTTTATTATTATTGTTTTTTGAGCATTTTGCGCCTCGGCATTGCTTTAACCCATTACCCTCATCATTTGAGTTTTCTCGCTCCCCCATTGTTTGGCCTTATTTCCAACATTGTTGCGTTTAACGTTCATAATTTTTCTATAATAGCTGCATTCTTTCCACGGCTCTTGCTTTTTTCCCCAATCAAGGCTTTTTTTCTACCATTTTATTGTATGCTCGATTCTTTCCACTTGAAATTTTTTATTCCAACTTTTTATTTCGTTCTCTTGCCATAGCTGTACATATATAGAGTTACATAAAAAACGCCGTTTTCCCCTTTTTCTTTTGCTGTTACTTTTCTTATATTACAACAGCATTTCTTCTGAGGGGTGCATTGTGCAAGAAGGACAAAAAGGCCGCATAAAAAACTGTAAAAGAACTCATTAAACGTCACAGTTTTCGTTGTAACTGATATAACGACAAACTTTTTTATTGTCTGCCTGCGCTTACCCACCCATTTTTTCCTCAATTTCTCACCTCTTTTGTAATCCGATTTTTTATTTTATTTTCTTGATTTTTTTTTAGGAAATTAGCTTAGCAAAACGTTTTTTGGTGTAAAAACAGTTAAACGCGCAATATTTGCTGTTGTTTTTCTACTTAAAAAAAATTTTTTTTTGCCGTAATTATTCATTACTTTCTAAAAGGCGCTATTTGTAAAGCTCTCCCTAATTTTTTTAACAAATCTAAACCCTTTCGTGTACATTGCTTTTCCCCTTTTACTATACGATTTCGGATTCCTTTTTTCTTCTAAAATTTTTGTGTTTTTTCATCACTTTTTTTGTAATTTTTTTATTAAAACTGCAAGCATTTTCCTTAAGGCAGTTAAAAAAGTATTTATTTTTTCTCATTTGCTTTAAATTTACGGTAAAATTTTTAATGAGTTTCATGGCGTTTCGCTCGCTTGGTGGGATTTGCCATGCGCATTTTAAATTAGAAGAAGCTGAGCTGTAATTTAATCTGGAGGCATTTCTAATCTCTGGGATTATTTACACTTTTTGGGTAAAAATGGGCTGGTAGGGCTTTTATGTAAATATACAGGTAATAATATGAATTTTAAGACGTTGAATTTGTATATAAGTAGGTTGATAAGAGAAGGTATAATCTTTTATATGAGTGTACAGTTACTGGCGTACGCCGGTGATATTGAAATCATTGGTCTTAACAACCGCCATTCCTTCTGATCTCTCCACACCAGATAAGGAAGTGAAACATAGACTACTTTTTTTTAGTGAACGAGAGCAAGACGAAATATTTCCCGTCAGTAAACAAACAGTGGTCGCAGGCACAACTTGGCTCCCACGTCACTGTAGATAGTCTTAACTTCGAATTTCGTCCATCTTGGAACCGGCATTAACACCAACAGCCTCGAAATCCAATGGAGAATAACTCTTGCTAACAAGTGATACTTAACAATAGACAATTGAGAAGAAAAGTCCTCTCTTAACGCACAAGGACCAAACTCTATAAGTCACTCATTATTCCCGTCCTGCTATATGGTGCAGAGGCATGGACGATGACAACATACAAGTTTTCGATAAAAAGCTTCTGAGGAAGTTTTATGATCCTTTCAGCATTCGCAACGGCGAACATCTTAGTCGATGAAACGGTGAGCTGTACAAGATATCTGACGATATTGACATAGTACTGCGAGTTAAGATCCAGCTGGCTGGGTCTAGTTGCCCGAATGGTTGAAAATAATCCAGCTCTGAAACCATTCGATGCAGTACTCTACGGGAAAGCAGTGGAGGACCTCCACTTAGTTGGAAAGACCAGGTGGAGAAGGATCTGGCTACACTTGGAATCTCCAATTGGCGCCAAACAGTGAAAAGAAAGAACGACTGGCGCGCTGTTGTAAACTCGACTTTAACCGCGTAAGCGTTTTCTACGCCAATAAAGAGAAGAAGAGGTAGATAAGAGTGTCGTTCCTTAAGGCAGAAAGATTCCTTCCTTAGAGAAGAAATATTTAAGAATAAAAAATTTACCTAAATGTCCGCTGCCTTCACGCTTAAGGCTAAAGAAGTCTACATCTAAAAATTTCTCCTCAGGGAATTCATATGATCCATCTAATCCGAGAAACGATGTTAGCTTTGACTTAAGCTTATCATAATGAACAAAGCTCACTCACACTATCTCGATTTGAAACATATTCCCAACCTCAAAATGGAACGTAATATGCCGGCTGTGACTGTCAGTAGACATAATATAAATGGAAGTAAAATTTACTTTAAGATTTATCAGCTGAAACTGCTTCCACAGAAGCGAAGAAAAATGACCCCCACAGCTTCGAATCATTGTCTTTTTGAAGAAAAAAATCAATATTTTCCAAGTTTCATGAGATCTCGACGGCGCTGAAAAAGATCCTCAACGGCTGCAGTCACAGAAAATGCAGGAAAATTTTATTGAACTAACTTTAAAAGGAAAAATACTAAAAGGCAAAAAAAAAATTTTTTTTTTTTAATTCACAGTAGGTTATCACAAGAACTTAAAGTTGGCATACCAAGAACTCAAGTTGATAATCAATTCCATAAGAAGGAAAAACTTGAAATTAACTTTTAAATGTTTTCGACAACAAGACAGTCCACACTCTCGAGCCATAAATCCTCCAGGAATCTATACAGCCAGTGAGGATATTGGCTTAGAGAAGTTTTTCAAAGGTAAATTGTAAATAAAATGCAAAATATTTATCCGTTTGGGGAACCAGAAAGCGCCACACGAAGGCAATCTGGTGAATACGGTGCTTGATCGATGGTATTCATTGCATTTTTGGTTTTAAATTCGGTCACAATCGTGGCTCGATGCAATCCATGATTTGTTCTTCCACAATCCCCTGACGTTTTCGCACAAATGTCTCAATACGACCAAATAGAACTCCTTGTTAATCGTCTGTCCCTTTAAAACAAATTCATAATGCATCAAACGACGAATATCGAAGAAAGCAATGAGAATCGCCTTGATTTTCGAGCGGCTTTGGCGTAAATAAACCCAAGTCTCACCGGCAGTTATAATGCGCTCTATGAATGTGGGATCGCGATTCTCAAGATCCAAGGAGTACAAAGAGACCTATTAACGGTACTCTCTTTGAAAAAAATTCATTCTATCGGAACGAGTCGAGAAAGAACGCGTCTCATACCCAACGGACACGCGAGAAATGTCGACTTCCCTTGCCATCTCTCTAACACTTGTCTGACGATTTTCAAGCACCATATCCTTCACTGCTTCAATAGTTTCATCAGTTAAAGAAGTTTCTAGAAGGACGCTTGTCTTCAAAGATTTCTCGGCCGCATTTGAAAATTTGTTACCGGTCGTAGGCCTGCGTTTTAAATAACACTGAAACAACCTTAAGCCTTTTCCTTCGCTATCAACGATTCCGGCCTCGAAATACCTAATTTGAGACAAATTCCTTGTTAGATATTTTTATCTATTGTAAAAATCACAACGCACCACTGAGTTGCACCGACTTAAGAAGCTGCTGTAAATAAGCTGGTTGACAGATCACGCTCATATACATAATATTTCACATAATAATTAAGGAAAGTCCTATCAACTTAGCAAAATACATTGTTTTAAATTACAATTTCAGGTTATTTTTTGTCACAATATATATGTTATTAAAACCCATTTGATTTGTAGGCTATTCTCTTTCAGTATAAACTTTTTTAGGAAATAACTGTTTCCATATAATTTTTAGGTTATCGGAATCGGGATTCTGCACAAAGGTCGACTTATTGACTTACTACTTTACTACTACTTAATTACTTTTTCTTATGGAAAATTTAAATGAGGGTTCCTAAATTTTCATTTACTTTTATAATTACCTGCCAACTAACGCAACTCCAACTGTTTTACCTTGAGTTTCCAGCATACTATACAACCTAACCTAACCTTTGCCATGATTGCCAATTACGCAGCGTTGCATAACAGTCGGTGACTTCAAATATGCAAATTTTCAACAATAAAAGTATAAATCCAATTAACAGCTAACTAGAATCGGCGCATTGTATGCACATTAGCTGCTTGGCTTAACCCACTAAGACCCCAACAAATACAATGAAGGAAGTAAATCATTGCCATTGGCAGCGAAAAAGGAAATTCAAAAATATATTTTCAACTTTAACCGTATGCTTTTCGAAATATTTGTTTTTGCATAACAATGGCAAGTGATCGATAGCAAAGCACAATA